GGGGGGGGGGGGGGGGGGGCGCACGTGGGCAGCAGCCTTACCATCACCCTCGATCACATGGCTGCAGCTGTAGCAGACGTCCCCAAAGAGCTGCGGACCAGGCAGATGTCACACACACAGGCAGTGGTGTCCCAGCCCAGGGCCAGGGGATGCGATGGCTCTTCCCCCCAAAGCTCTCAGCCTCCACCTGGGGCTCTGGGCCCTCCTGCCAGGATACAGCCTCGCGCCTCCGGCGAGGGCACCCCTGGCCCATCAGAATCGCTCCTGGGAGGGACCCCAACGGCCCTTGGCTCCTCTGCTGTCCTGAAGGTGTGGCCAGGCTTCTCACCAGAGCAGCCGGCAGCTTGAGGGGCATAGCGGGAGCGGGAGGGGATGGCACAGGGCACAGGCCTGGCTGCAGGGGCCGCTTCTCGAGTGAGGACAGGCAGAGAGGGCCGCGGGTCTGAGCCACGCCGAGGCTGCCCGCCCGCCCGCAGCCTTCCAGCAGCCTCCCTGCCCTCCCAGCCCAGCCCAGGCCCAGGGCAGGCCTGCCCTCCGCGTCCGCACCCTGCGGCCGAGCCTCACCTGGCTGTAGTGGGTCTCGCAATAGGCCAGGCCCTTCCTCTCGTAGTGCCGGTGCCCGCGGAACGGCTTCTCGCACTTGGCACAGACGAAGTGCTGGGGGGAGGGGGGCGGGCCGCTCAGGCCGGAGCAGGACCAGGGGGCGGAGTGCCTTGCTGGGGCCCCAGGGTCGGGGCAAGGGGGCTGCTACCTCCCGGGACCGCCCCTGGGTCCGGAGACCCCGCGCCTCCCCTAATGCCCAGTGAGGATCCGCACAGCCGTCCCCTCTGGGCCGGCTCCACCGGGTGTGGGGCCGGGGCCTGCGTGCGCTGTGTTGTGGGGGCTGCTCTGTTGTTTGCATGGAGCCCCTGGGGAGGCTCCTTCCCTTGGGCGAGGACCAGCCACCGGGGGCTGGGTCAGACCTCCCTCAGGCACGTCCCAAAGATGCCGCCAGGCAGAGCTTCAGGCGGAGCGGGCAGTGCCGTCCACATAGAGCCACAGCGCAGGACATCCTCCGGGCGCCGCGGGGGCACCTGGGCCCCAGCAGGCACGCTCAGCATCTGGGCCCACAGGGCTGCAGACAGCCCGTGATGTCAGCCACAATCCCTCATCCCAGGACTCCGGAGTCT